ATTATAAACGGTTGTTAAATGAGCTGGCAGTGAGTGATTCCGTCATTCCTTACTGTCACCTAGGACTGGGTAACGTTGCGAGACAGAAGGGTGAATATGATTTAGCTTTGATGAATTATGACAAAGCATTGAAAATCTTCTTAAACGCTCTTCCACCCGATCACCCTGATATCGCCAACACATATAACAATATTGGTATTGTGCAGCGGAACAAAGGTGAATATGATTTAGCTTTGATGAATTATGACAAAGGATTGAAAATCTTCTTAAAAGCTCTTCCACCCGAACACCCTGATATCGCCAGCACATATAACAATATCGGTGCGTTACACCAGAACAAAGGTGAATATGATTTAGCTTTGATGAATTATGACAAAGCATTGAAAATCAAAATAAAAGCTCTTCCACCCGATCACCCTGATATCGCCAGCACATATAACAATATCGGTGCGTTACACCAGAACAAAGGTGAATATGATTTAGCTTTGATGAATTATGACAAAGCATTGAAAATCTACTTAAAAGCTCTTCCACCCGATCACCCTGATATCGCCAACACATATAACAATATTGGTGCGTTACACCAGTACAAAGGTGAATATGATTTAGCTTTGATGAATTATGACAAAGCATTGAAAATCAGAATAAAAGCTCTTCCACCCGATCACCCTCATATCGCCCAAACATATAACAATATCGGTGCGTTACACCAGTACAAAGGTGAATATGATTTAGCTTTGATGAATTATGACAAAGCATTGAAAGTCAGAATAAAAGCTCTTCCACCCGATCACCCTGATATCGCCGACACATACCGTAATATGGGACTCGTGCATGAAGCAACTCGTGCTTGGCAATCAGCATTAGAATATCATAACAAAGCAGCAGGAATAAGACGCAAGTCATTCGCAACAACGCATCCGCAGATGGTTACCACTGAGAGCGACATTCGAAGAGTGAAAGCTCAACTAAAGTAGACATTTAGAATAGTTGCATCTGCTTGTCGACAGTCGGTTGTTCTTCTAGTTTTCAGGAAATAACCACAACAAGCACTCTAGTGCTCGGTCAGTTATTAGACTTATCGGTTATTCCGTTCATCTAATGTATGAATCTTGAGCCTGTCAAGGTATACACTTTCAAGAGATTATGGATTGAAAGTGTATATCTTGACAGGCTCAAGATTCATATACATGTATCATAATCCTAGAATTGATTCTAGTTTAAATTATATGCATAAAGTTAAAATCGTTGGCGTACGATTTGGAACAGGAAAGTTCAAAAAAGAAAAATTCTTTTATTCGTGTTATTAAGTGGCATCACTTCGACACCACTCTCAGTGTATATTCGCACCGAATATTCATATCTTTCCTTTTGCTGCCGCTTTTTTCACGTGTTTTCATTTCTTTAGCAATAATAAATCAGTGATATACCTGGGTGTTCGTTTTCTGACTGACTCAAATGCAGCACGGCTAAAACGCCTAACTGTCATCCGTACTTCATTTGTTATTTCGTTATTTGTTTTCTTAACAAATAAAATACATTATTGAAAGTAATGAATTTTCGTGAAACCGTCGCTGCAATTCCCAAGCAAAAACGACCCAATTTTTTGGGTTATTTATCTAGATTCAGGTCCACGTGCATCTAGATGTACGTGGAGCTGAATCTAGATAAATAACCCAAAAAATTGGGTCGTTTTTGCTTGGGAAGCAATCCTAAAATCAGAATTTTATAAATGGCCCCTACAAGAATTTATCAACAATTGCTGTTAGACTTGTGTTATTTAAAAATAATGTAAGTTCTGAGAAAGATTTTTCCTTTTTTGAAACCAGTGACGGATTAGCACATATAGAAGGTTGATTTTTACGTGGAAAACAACTTTTATATGATATGTATTATTGACGGTTTTAAGTTGAAACTAGCCAAGTACATGTAATGATTGAATCTTTTCTTCTTCTTCTTTGAATTGAATTGACTTCAATCAAGATATTTGTATATTCTCTTATCTCTTTTGGAAACGATATAGACCAAGACACTGAGTCGTATCGACTTTGCCTAGGTGAACGCCAAGTCGTATAACATGAAGTTAAATTCCAACGAATAAAATTAACTTAATTTCAATGGCTAACATTAGAATCTCAATGCGATGTCGAATGAGATTGAAGAGCGTCATCGATTAAAAAGAAAATTGAATAAAAATGTTATGTGGATAGAGAAGGCTTGTGAACAAGTAAACAGAGCTAAATGAAACTAAGACCGGATCGTTCGTTGATTTAACTTAGTGCACAAGAACCAAAATTAAGTGAAATGAGAAGGAAAGTAGTTGCTCAGCTATTCTGGTCTGCATCTGATTAATGTAGAATTCTCGATGTTGTGTGCAGCCAGCAGTTTTTCAGTTCAGTCCTTCAGGATTGATTTCAGCTCAAAATTTTTCTGAAGTAAACCGTGATCAGCATCTGATGCTAACAAACGTTCGATAACTCCTTCAGACTTGATTTTGCTTAAAATTAGTCTACTTTTTCCAATTCCATCATAACTTTCACCTTGTCGTTGGTCCGGTGTTCTTTGTTGTAACTTTTCTTGATACATACGATAGACCGAAGCTCCTTGAGAAAATTGTTTCTTAAGTACAGACCTGAGTGGTGCCCGAATCGGGCGGCAAATCTTAACACCTCGTCTATGTCTGACTTCTCTATTAGTAACTATGATAGTTCCTCTACCGTTATTCTGAATAATAACGGAGCATGTAAATGACCATATAGGTTGACCACTGCACCGGAGTTTACAGCGAAGAAATTGACGATAGCTATCATTTGTAGCACCAAATGTGCAATTGCGTACGCATAAACCACAAAATTTATTTTCAATTGTTTTAAATATGGAAGTAAAATGTATAAATACGTAACATTCATATTAGATTTTTTCTTATCTCAAGTTTCATCAAGTATTAATGCAGCTAAAGTTGTAGGTGAAAAAAGAATGAGTTATGAAATTGATTGACATGGAAAATTTTTACTTTTACTACACGTAGATTTCTCCATAGGATTTTTCGATATCTTAGCTTGTTTTGAAGTGAAAATTCTTTTTTGAGTTGTTTCTATGTCACCTTTAGAAGACAAACCCATTTTTTCATAAAGACGATCTTTTTTCTTCTTAATCTTTTCATTTCGAATCACTATTAATTTGGCAAGATCAACAGATCGAAGGTTGAATTGATATAATGCGGGTAGTTCAGCAACAAAATCATCATCAGCCTGTGAATTCTGAACATTTTCATCAATTTGAATGCCTAAACCGATTCAGCAACAAAAAAAACTATATATCATATACAGTTAAACAAAATTACATTTCTGCGAAGCTACTATAGGATGTCATGCACATTTTTTTAAGATACAAAACATGAAAACTACAGATAATGATGTCTGAATATATAGAATTGTTAGTTCTATATGAAATCATTATATCATTAATGTTCAGTTTATGTGTATTCAATACGAAGTTATGTAAAAAAATGTTTTTTTACGCACACATTTTAGTAGAGAATGTACACATTTTAGAGACCGAATGTAATCAGAAGAAAAGTTGTTTGTATGTTGACTTAATACCAGAGTTGAATATGAAATCCTTTGACTCTTCGCGACTATCAGCGAAACTTCACACTTACTCAAAGTTGTTTTACGTGTCTTAAAGCTGAAAAGTGCACTCAAATCACACCAATGACTTTGTGTATTGTTTAAACATTGCTCTGCACATCTTATTCAACTTTTTACAAGTTTTAGGTTTGAGATTATGGCTTCTTTTTTTTGCGATCCCTAAAATTATAGAGTGGAATATTTTCTAGAAAAGTCTGAGTTCTTAGGCGTCATTGTGAGAATCCTGTCTTTTATCGTTAAAGACTTATTTGAAAAACAAACGAGTGCCTTGAATTTTGATGCAGATAGTAATAGAAATGCTGTTATTGACGTTATCTTTGCTGTCTTTTCTTGTGTACTTCAGTTTTAACTGTAGCAAATTTTATTGAAAAACGACAAAAGCTATCTACCTGTGGTATAATATTTGATTGACTTTCAAATTTCCAGACTTAGCTCCAAATAACTTCAAAATCAATGAAATAAACTGATACTTAAAAATAGCTAAGCGTCACTTAAAGTGACACTCTAAGTGATCAAGTGTCACTTCAAGTGTAGTAGTGTCACTCAACGTGAGAGACACTTCGAAGTGTGTGCAGCAAAATTGGAGGTTATTTTCCCTTGCCCCCTCAAAATCAAATCTATTTGAAGACAATCACATGGAAAGATAGTCTGGAGTGCCTATCTTTAGAATCTGTATCGACTAGATATTTCATGATGGATTAAAGAATTGTATTGTCTATTTCTGTGTTCGTCACGATAGTCACTAGTCGAACTATGTGATTAACTCAGTAGCACTGTAAAACTAAGTTAAAATTAGAAAAACGACAAATACTCATATTCAAACGATGAAAACAGTAAGTTGTTTTTCTTCTCACTTTCCAAAATATATATTTGGCTAATGAACAGAGATTACCAATAAGAATACAGTAGATATTTTTTCTGACCATTTTCTGATTTCGGAATTGAAAGTTTTAAATCACTCGAGATTAATATATTTGTCACTGTATATAAAATGAAGAGAAAAAACAGAAATGTTGGCAAAACAAGTGTATATATATCAACGATAAAAGGTTACATATTGTGAAGGACTTATTTCTTGGTTTGTTAGCTAGCACTAGTTTTCACTTTAAATAGATTAGAAAAAATTGTGAATGCTGCTTTTACTATATTTTCGTTGTTGAAAAAATTTTTTATACTTTAAGGAGTAGATTCATGTTGAGAATTTTATTTTCGTTTTTGAAGAAAAAGTTTTTAAAAACAAATCTTTTTTATTTATTTTTATTAAACAACTCAATAAATCAATCTCTTGTTTTCTTCTTTCTAGCCATCAAGTTAAACATTTTATCATAATATGTTGATAAAATATCGAAGTGGTGTATTACATTCAGCAACGAACGCTAGATGAGAAAAATTGCTAAGGTTATTGGTCGACCGTTAGTGCATACGAGATACTCTTTTGCACTCAAACGATCGATCTCCAGATGGTCACCGACTATTTATGTCAACCAATCAACGCAAATAATGAATGTAACTGGTAAGATTGACATTTTCAAATAAATATGTTATTATCAGAGATGGGCAGCTCCGACCATTTCTCGCTCCAACTCCAATCCAGTTTCAGGCATTTTTGAGTAGTTCCGCTCCGACTCCGCTCCGACTCCGCTCCAACGGGAAAATTTATGCACCCGCTCCAACCAAAAAATTTCCGCTCGAACTCAGCGCCAGCTGAATCCTTTTTGGGAACCGCTTCGGAGTCGGAGCTGCCCATCTCTGGTTATTATTCTTTTTTCTTCGAGTTTTTTTTGATACAATCAGTCCTTTTATTTTTTTTATTGAAGAAAACTAATCTTATATTTGAAAGCGAATTTAAATTTGCAAATTGAGCAATCAATGTTCGAGTTCATTTTCTAGCTTGGGATTTTCTCTATGTCGAAGAATAATATGAGCATTTTTCAATAGTTTTTCTTGATATTTTTAATGACGAGAGAATAGATTAAAAAAAAACATTCATTATGATGTACGTAAATTGTTACTGATAAGTTTTTAAAATATAGTTGCAGATTTATTTATATTTTTTAATAGATATTCAAAATTCCAATTATTAAAGTTTTCCTAAGCAAAAAAGAATTTTTATTGTATTCTATTTAGAAAAAGTGAATCTACATTATTCGAAATCCGTCGAAGTTTATTTCTATCAATATTTTCTCTCCTTTATTTTATTATTCATTGGTTATATCTTTTTTTTCTAATATATCATGTATTATCATGTTAAATACAAATCTTATTCTTTTACATATATTCGTTTAGCTGAACTTCAATTATTGATGATTAATGGTTGCCATAATCTTAGCAATTTACCTTGTTCTTTTCAAACACATATAAATGTTTATTTTTTACATAATAAACTTTTACTAGTGTATTATTCACTAATAGTTATTGACATGATATATATATGGCATCTTACTGTTCACTTTTTGCATTGTACTTTTGTTACATTTTTCATCAACATTATTATTTTTGGCACTAATATTATTCTATATTATGAGAATATAACTTATATTAGCTCTATGATATGCAGTGTACTAGTCGCCGCATATGCACCGCTGGAAAGTTTAATGCTTTACAATGTCGACGATCCGTTACGTGTATTCTGTGAACGAATGGCATTACCCAATGTTCTCAATGTCGATGGTCATTCAAAACGTGCACGCTTTTATCGCTGGACAAAGAAAATAAAAAAACAATGGAATATCAAAGAAGAAAAATTAATTATAACTCTTATTATAGGTATATTTGCAATCATTTTTTCCATTATTCTTGGTAGTTATATTTAATCTTATTTCTTTAATAAATGGTGTTTGTAACCTGTATAGATTTCATAGTATAGATAGACATAGCTTGAAAAAGTAGAAAATTAGGGATATTGTAAACAAATTTTGTGTAATAAATAGTTTGTATTGAAAGATTATATATATGAATAAATAAATTCATCCATCCGAATCTATTTATGAATGATCATCAGGAACTATGTCATTTGTTTTGTATATCATGCCATTGTTGGATTTTACACAATTCAATAATCGAATCTCAGCATTGTTAGAAACAATGGATATTACAAATGTATACAAAATCTACTGTTCTACAAACTTCAACTGACTAATTATATATTTAGAATGTTTGTATCATTCTTTTTCTTTGCTTTTATTAAAAGAGAAAGACTCGTGTTCTAGTTTTCTAATCTGAAATGAATTTGACTATTGACTGATAATGGGTGTGAAATAAAATTCTTTCGAACTCTAACTATTGTTAATCAAATTGTAACAATCAAAGACGATGATCATTGCTTTTGCAATTGATCATAGACAACATAACATCGTCAGATGTACTATTATTACATATCATTTATTCTATGCTGAGACGTAACTTGCTCTCTTCGTAGTCTATGAATCATGAGCTACTTTTTGTTGTGTAGTAAACGATTAATAAAAGTCGTCAACAATTTGATCACGTCATGATCACCATGCTTGTCCAACTTTAGAATATATTTTGCCTAAACTTAAATAAAAGTTGTTAAATGATAAATCTGTACAAAAACAAATAAAAAAGATAAAAAATATTTGTTTTACTGATCATGCAGAACGTATTATCCGTCAGTTTTTCTATTATAAAACACTTTTCATAATAACTCATATATATTTAAATTATTTATTACAGTAAAATGACAAAATTATTGATTCTGTAATTATTTGCTTGTTCCTAATAAAAATCAAAGAAGCTTTTTTCATTTAAAAAATGTTTATTTGACATAGTTGACAATATATGTAATTATAAAATTTTATATTAGATGCATTTAGTAATATATCTAAGATGAATTTATAATAGTTTTCATATAAAGATTACATTTGATAAAAAATTATGAGCTAAACTATTATTGATACCTCGAGATATAAATTCATTTTGCCTCTAGAAATGTGTTTTAATTTATTATGTCGTTGAACGCTTACATCAGTGGTAATCCGTTTATGATATGTTGTATAAAATTTAAGAAAGAAACCAAAAAATTCAGAAGTATTGATTTCTGGGCTGGATTCTTTACAAAATTTTCAAAAACGAGAAGATTAAATCAGAGACAACATTTCAACATTCAGAAGAGCCAAGCTGCAATGAACAACATTTTTGCACTAAATGAATTTCGACGAACTTGCCTTGTTATTCATTTTTTATATTAATAGCTGTATGTAGAATTATAGTGATTACCTGCCGACGTTCATGGTTATACTATTTATTGGTAATTTTACACATGTACTCTTATTGAAAAGCTGTTGATCATAATACTGACAAGGTCTAATCTCATAAACTGTCTTTTGTTCCATCGCTTTCTAACCTTAATGACTGTGAGGATCCATTTCTAATTGTAAAACACATATAACAAGATCATATATTATTTTATTTTCAAATGCATAATCTACTTATTTTAAGTGGGGATTTCCTGACAACAACACCTTTTCGAAAAATTATGAATCATATCGATTTTCAAGAGATTTCACAGTTCCGAATTGAGTTTGCTTTACGAAAAGTCGTTCAGAAAATAATAAGATTTAGGTATTACTTAACATGAAACTTCATCGAATACACATATCCTTGAATAGCAATATAAAGAGTTTTTTTTTGTTTTATGTTTATAATTATCTCTGATAGTTAGCACCACATTAAATCCATCTCACAATTTCTTCAAGCACTTATATAAACTATTTTTCTTTTATCTAACCACATGTTTTTTTATCATCTTAATAGATATTTTTTTAAAGAAAAACTTCGATTTCAATCTCATTTGAAATAAGTTTTGCTTCTGAAGAATTCACTTTTAAAGAATCTTACGTAAAGTAATTAATTCATATTTTTCATCTTCACTTGTATCATCAATAAACTTTATCAAAACAATATATTTTTGATCACGATTAAGGTGATTACGATTTGTGAATCTTGATGTTATGCCTTCGAATCTTATTATATAACTATTATCTTCTACGTCTTTAGTTATCTTAATGTTTATATTATCAGTTTCGTTTGAATATGGCTTTGCCAATGTTAGGGCATCTCAATCTAATGCAAATGATCTCATGCTATCCAAATTAATATCGATTGGAAATCTATGTAGTTCAATTAATTCATCTAAATTTATTCGTTTCCAATATATGTCGTTCGACTTAAGCGCAGCTCACAAATTTCTAATAATTTAAACTGGAAAGGGAGCGGCTAAGTGAGGATTTGCCAACCTCCCATTCTGTTTATCAATCCTCATTTATACAATCTAAAGAGAAAAAAAAGATAGAAGCTCTAAAATCCCTTGCTACACTGTTGAAGTCGACTCATTGTGGGGATCAAAATCTTGTTATCTACGAAAAAATCTAACTTGTAAGTATCCTCATAATTCGCCCTGAACAATATCAGTTTTGCTGACCCTTCTCTGCTCATTCGAATGATGTGTAATTTAAGAAAACCGAATGCGTGTCAATGTTGCAATTAAAAGAACAAGAAATACAGAATTCTTCAATTTTTGAAGAAAACTTCTAGGCACTTTTCTTAAAAAAATTATTTTTCCAACGTTTTATCTATTTTTTTGCCGCGCCCACAAATTTCTCATAAGTATTAAACAGAAAGCTAAAATTCAATTTATTAGATGATAAAATTGAGTTTGCAAGACGTTTCAGCATCTTCCAGCTGGATGTTTTCCGCACCACGAAGCAATGGATTAAGTTTTTATCAAGTGATGACAAAAGGGAAAACAAGTTACTTTAGTTTAACTTTAATACTCTTTAGATGTCGCTGATTTTCAACAACATATCGACGTGTGAAGGGTAAAGAATGACGATAGATTTCATCAGCTTTAACATAATAATCTACGACAAAATCTAACTTGAAAGTATCCTCATAAATTCACCCATAATAATGAAAGAGATCATCAAACCAAATCATCGTCCATATCTGCACGTGATTTCATACGGATCTCTAAACTTTTTTCAAAATATGTCCTGGGACTTCTCTATTCTTCGTTCTTGAAACTACTTTATCATAATTCATCAAAGCTAAATCATATTCACTCCTCTGCTCGAAGATCTTATAAGATTCTCATAAATTTCTGTAAATTCTATAGAACTGCCTTGACTTCGGTCAGCTAAGGCACACGGCCAAAGTTTGAGAACTATCTCATCTATGATTTGGTTCAGAGCTGCCGATCTCACGAGGGAACACCTCCAAGTGTGAGTCTCAGTTTTAAATGGGATATGTACCAGTTTGTAGAGCTCGACGAGCTGATTCTTCTGGTATGTTCCGTTTTTGCCCATAGACCTTAAATGAGAAAATTGGTAAG